GGCCATAGTGACTAATCCCATTCTGATTTCATCCATTAATGGGTAACTCTCTGCTTTCTATTGGTAGCCATGCCTCATCCATGCTCGAACTTTACCTTCCATATACCATGAGCTGCCACTTTTTATGAGTTCTCTTGTGAGGTACTCTTGTGAAGGCTTTACTAAAATCCAAATAAACAATATCATATTACTTATCACTGTCATACTGCCTCAAATGTTCTATTGAAGAACGTCAGTAAGTTGTATGGCAGGAACGACCTCTCGTGAATCCATGCTGAGATTAATTTATCAAGTTATGCTCTTCAAGGTGACTTCTGATAAATGTCAGCTCTATATTTGTTTCTCATACTTGCCCACTATAGATGGTCAGGCTTCTTTGGACGGTAATTTGAAGGAGTGGACTTATCCCATGATTGATATAGGAACACTAGCCATCTTCCACATCTTAGGGCACATCACTGTAAGGATGGACGCATTGAAACACTCGTAATGGATGACTAAGCTCCATCTTGCATTCCTATGTACACTTGAAAACACTCATCGGGTCCGGGGGACTTATTTTGTTTCAGTTTGTGTATCTGTTTAATAAACCTTGTCCCTCGTGACAGTAATATTAGTTAACTTAAATTCATCAGGAAACTAAATAATTGTTAATTACTCGGAAAATCTCATTTACATCTTCCTGGTAAAAACGACATAAAAATAGTCATTTAATAAGGAAACACATTTCCAGTTTCATTATCCTGTCAGCTGTCCATTCCCAGATTTCAGAAGGTCTTCTTTTTCAACTCGACTCACAGCTGTCCTATACACTTGAAAGAAACCCTTTTGATTAGTCTTTTGATTCATTAGCGACTCTAAGTGCATAGTATCGTATAGCCTTCTAATCGCCTTTTTTATTCTCTTTTAAGCTGAACATATTGGTCAGTAAGGTTAACCTCTTCCTCTTCTGATGCGCCCTATAAAATTCCCCTTTTCTCCCCTAATAGATGCTTTAACCTCTGTTAACCCATTTGGGGATCGTAATTATTAGACCTAATTTTCTCTGGGGAATGATATATACTCTGGGCACTGTGTTCAGTATTAAGAAAACAATATTAAAGCAGATCCCTTCATATCATTATGTATGATTATGTCAAAAAAATCATTAGTAGATACCCCAATCAAGATTAGACTGAATGTTCCCTAAGTCAATTATAATCGGCAGAACCGAAAAATCGGGGAATTTTTAATGTATTTCATTATTCTTGCCTTCCCAATTAAGCTAAGGTGATGGATTTTGTGGTCACTTGCGCAGCTCTTCAGTGATCTTCCAGATTATTCACGAGTGTTTCCTTATGTGACAAGACTAGGTCTAGCAAATTATTACCCCTGGTAGGTTCAGTTACATCTGTTTCAGTATACAGTCCTGAAACTGTTTCCATGAAGTCATGGGACCTCTTAGTTTCCTGTCAAAGAATTCAGTCAATTTGGCTAAGTTAAAATCCCTACATATGATCTACGTTACTGTGTCCAGAAAGCCATAACAATTTCGTCCCAAAGAAGTCTCCCTCTATCGTTGATCCAAAGCCGGAGGTCGGTATTGTACACCAGAATTAGTTTTTCTTGACCCTCACGAACTCTACCCAAACAGACTTGTTTACTGAACATTAAAATGGTATAAAAATACTGACAGGTTGTTAGGTAGACCAATAATGCAGTTGAGGCAGCCCTTCGGCTTGAAGTCGATGTAATACAAGTCATCAGTCTTGAAAGGAATAAAACATTTGTACGAGAGTGGCTTATTATACTGTAAACAGGTGAGGTGAAAAGCAGTCGATGAGTAGTATCACCACATTTTCGATTTTTCAGTGTGATTCCACCTACGACTGCTGTCACCTCTCCTACCTACAGTATATAAGTACTTCTACGCTACATATGCTGTATTCGTTTCATGAATGATGGACTGATTACATCGACTTAAGATGAGGAACTCTTACTTCAAATCCTCATGTTCTTCACCATTCCCCTTTGTATGGACTTGATGAAGCCACTGTGTGGCAAACTTTTCCACATTAAGATACCAAGTGTTGCACATGTGTTAATTTATCAGTCCTCAGGTTGTTCTTCAATTATATATCGTGGTTAGGCCTCATTTAGATGATGCTGCACATTCTCGGTCTCTCTATAAGAACTGATATAAATGCGGTGGAAAACGTACAAGGAGGGTATGACAAAGATGATCCCATGTGAGAGGAGATTTCTCGTCCGCCCGATGCTGTCAACATTAACTCAAGGGCTGAGGGGAATGATTACTCATCTTTTGTATATAGTTTACTGTCCTCTAATATGTCCTTGAATCTGTACTGATAAAAGAGCCATCTGGATGTGAACGTTATCAATAAAGATATCCAGATGTTGCACATCGTCTCAACTTTCTCGTTCGTACGGTAGTTATACCTTTCTTACACATGATACCATAAGGCGATCAGAAAACTTTTATACGAGGATTTACTGTTAGGTAAAGGACCTAAGTGCAATTAATGTGACATTTAATTGTGGCAACGTTCGCTCTCCAGGAGCCTTTTGTCCAGCTCCCTGGAGGGAGAGCGTAACGTTGCACTATAAAATGTCAACATTGTTGACTTGTGTCCTTTTACTTTACATATCGGTAATTCTACCAAAATATATACATCCTGTGGGCGGTAGTCAACGATTACAGAGGTACATAATGGGTCCAGGAGTGGACCCACTTGAAAAGCATAAATTAATAACGAATCTCAGCATGGTTTAACAAAGGGGCGTTCCTGCTTACGAATTTATTAATTTTTTCACTATGGTATTTGAGGAGGTAGATCATGTAAAGATAGATATTGTGTATTTGGACTTCAGTAAGGTTTTTTGACAGGGTCCCACTTCAGAGACTATTGAGGAAAATTAAAGCACATGAATAGGAGGAGAAATTTTTTCCTGGATTGAGCATGGTTGACAAATAGGCAGCAGAGAGTTTGCATAAATGGGGAGAAATCAGAGTTTACCTGGAGTTTACCTGGAGAGAGTTCCGGGGGCACAACGCCCCCGCGGCCGTCTGAGACCAGGACTCCTGGTGGATCAGAGCCTGATCAAACAGCTGTTGCTGCTGGCTGCACGCAAACCAACCTACGAGCTACAGCCGGCTGATCCGGACTGGCACTTTAGATGCTTGTCCAGTGCCAGCTTGAAGACAGCCAGGGGTTGTTGGTATCCCCCTTATGTGTGCTGGGAGGCAGTTGAACAGTCTCGGGGCCCCTGACACTTATTGTATGGTCTCTTAACGTGCTGTGACACCATGCTTTTTCATGGGGGATGAGCATCGTCTGCCAAGTCTTTTGCTTTCCGTAATGAGTATTTTCGTGGTGCAAGTTCGGTAATAGTCCCTCTAGGCTTTTCCAGGTGTTTTATCATGTACTCTCCCTCCTGCGTCCAGGGAATACAGGTTTAGGAACCTCCAGCGCTCCCAATAATGAGGTGTTTTATCTCCGTTATGCGCGCCGTGAAAGTTCTTGTAATTTCTAGGTCGGCAATTTCACCTGCCTGAAAGGTGCTGTAAGTGTGCAGCAATTTCCAGCCTAGATAGAACAGTGACCTGAAGAGTGTCATCATGGGCTTGGCCTCCCTAGTTGAGGTCTTCATTATCCATCTGTCATTTTTCTAGCAGATGCGATTGATACAATGTTATGGTCCTGAGGTGAGATCCTCCGACATGATCCTCCTCAGTCTTTGGACGTTGGTGTTTCGCTCTATTTTGTGGCCAGAATTTGTTTTGTACTCTGATGACGATTTAATATCCTCATGTTTACCATATCTGAGTAATTGAAAATTTCTCATCGTTGAACTTCATATTGTTTTCTGCAGCCCACTGAAAGCTTTGGTTGATGTCTGCTGGGTCTTTGCAGTTGTCTGCAATGGGAAGACACTGTCATGCAGATCGGGGTGTCATCTGCAAAGGAAGACACGTGCTGTGGCTGAACATCCTTGCCCTATGTCGGATATAAGGATGAGGAACATGATGGGAGCAAGTACTGTGCCTTATGGTACAGAGCTTTTCACCGTAGCTGCCTCGGACTTTACTCTGTTGACGACTACTCTCTGTGTTTGTTAGTGAGGAAAATTATAGATCATCGACCGACTTTTCCGTTATTCTTTTGCACGCATTTTGTGCGCTATTACGCCATGGTCACACTTGTCGAAGGCTTTTGCAAAGTCTGTATATATTACATCTGCATTATTTATGTCTTCTAGTGGCTTTGAGGAACTTTTCGAAGTGTCCAATACTTGAGGACAGACAGGAGCGACCTGTTCTAACCCATGTTGCCATGGGTTGTGTACTGCTCGGATTTCTAGATGCGTGGTGATCTTGCTTCTTAGGCCTTCAAAGATTTTTATGATATGGATGTTAGATGCTATTGGTCTGTTGTTCTTTGCTGTTGCTTTACTGCCCCCTTTGTGGAGTGGGGATATGTCTGTTGTTTTAGAAACTGTGGGACGACCCGTGTTTTAAAACAAGACATTATCTTATATTTCTCACACTCGATCATTTATTAGTTACACAACGTGTATGTAATATTTATTAATAAATAAGAAAAATAAATAATAGTAAAATTAAAATATTTTTAAGTAGTTTGATATTCTCGTAAATCGATTTCCGAAATTATCGCAGCGGGCTAAAAGTCTTTATTCATGCAAATATAAGTAGATTTTTTCCTATAAATAAAAACTTGTTCTTTTTATTAAAACTGAAAATTAAAATGGCGTAGTATTTCAAGAAATCGATTTCTAGCTTATTTATAACGTTTTTCTTTTTCCTTCTAGAATATACTCTCGCAGATATATACCACACTTTTATTTGTTATTTTAAATTGTGTTTTTATGCGGCGTCTTCTGAGTTTTATAAGGCATTATTTGTTCAATACATATTTTCTGGGTATCAAATTTTATATGTCTGTAAGAATAACGAATCTAGAATTCGACGCTGTGATTGGCCAATCAAACAGCGCGTCTCTACGGCTACCAATAAGCACTGGCTTTACATAGCAGCTTGGCTACATGTGTACATGGTGAGGAAAAGGCCGCGCAGCGTGTGAGCTTCGCTTTATTTTTCAAATCAACGCTAGCGTTACTACTTAAATATGGAGGTAAGTGGTCGTTTGTGGTGCTTAAAGTGCCCAGGAACAGACTTTTGGGTAAAAATATGGTAGGTAAGTAGTTATGGTGGAATAAGAAGAGAGTTAGTGCGAGGGCCAGGATACTGCCTCCACCGCATGAATCTATAAGCCAGTCGCACCTTTTTTCCCTTGTTTGTAATCTTTCACAGTGATTGTTATACATAAACCTGTGAACAATATTGGTATTTGCAGTGGTATGGGCTTCCTGAAGTCCAGTTTCCTTGAGATTTAAGTTCACATAGTGGTAGCATTAAATATCATTAAATATGATCCTGGTGCCCCCAAGCCAGACCAAAAACAAAGACAAAAATTATAATAGTGTGATGATAGTGATTGTAATGTTTTATTATTGTCTTGCCATGCACCACTTGTGCCTTAGTTTATGCCACAGCATGAGGGTTTGTAGTTGTTGTTTTTTTTACCCCAGGATAACTCAAGAAAGACCCCAATGTAAATGAGTTACTTTGACTATTTTATTATCTTAGTTTATTTACACGGGTTATGATGCAAGATATTTGTAATCATAATGTGTAATTATATTTGCCCCTGTGGCTAAATTTTTTGCTTCGCACGGGGAGGCTCCGGGTTCAATTCCCGATGAGGGTAGAAACATTGGTCGTGTTTCTTTACACCGGTTGTCCATGTTCACCCAATAGTACAATAGGTACCTGGGTGTTGGTCGACTGGTGTGGGTCGCATCCTGGGACAAAACTGACCTAATGTGCCTTAAATGCTCAGCATAATGTAGAACTTAGCCATACAGATTGCGAAAAGGACTTAGGGGTTATGGTAAGCAGCAACCTTAAACCAAGACAGCAATGCCTAAGCGTACGTAATAAGGCAAATAGATTACTGGGATTTATATCAAGAAGTGTAAGCAACAGAAGTCCAGAGGTCATACTGCAGCTTTATACATCATTAGTAAGGCCTCACCTAGATTATGCAGCTCAATTCTGGTCTCCATATTACAGAATGGACATAAATTCGTTAGAAAACATTCAGCGTAGGATGACTAAACTAATACATAGCATTAGAAATCTTCCTTATGAAGAAAGATTGAAGACTCTTAAGTTACATTCACTTGTTAGACGAAGAATGAGGGGAGACCTGATCGAAGTGTATAAGTGGAAGATAGGTATTAATAAAGGGGATATTAACAAGGTCTTGAGGATATCTCTCCAAGAGAGAACCCGCAGTAATGGATTTAAATTAGATAAGTTTAGATTTAGAAAGGACATAGGAAAGTATTGGTTTGGAAATAGGGTAGTTGATGAGTGGAACAGTCTACCTAGTTGGGTTATTGAGGCTAGGACTTTGTGTAGTTTCAAATTTAGGTTGGATAAATACATGAGTGGGAAGGGTTGGATTTGAGAGGGACTTGCACATCAGAGCTTATTTCTTGGGTAGCATTGAAAATTGGGTTGGTCAAATGTTTGTTAGTGGGATGAATTCTAAAGGACCTGCCTAGTATGGGCCAACAGGCCTGCTGCAGTGTTCCTCCTTTCTTATGTTCTTATGTTCTTATGTTCTTATAACAAGCGGCTTTCTATATAGTAGTATATTATTGTCAGCTGAGACTGTATACCTTGTACATGTACTTGTAGAAATAGACATTATTATTATACACAAATAACCCGCACATTGAGGTTCCTAAACCTGTATTCCCTGGAACGCAGGAGGGAGAGATACATGATTATATACACCTGGAAAATCCTAGAGGGACTAGTACCGAACTTGCACACGAAAATCACTCGCTATGAAAGCAAAAGACTTGGCAGACGATGCAACATCCCCCCAATGAAAAGCAGGGGTGTCACTAGCACGTTAAGAGACCATACAATAAGTGTCAGGGGCCCGAGACTGTTCAACTGCCTCCCAGCATACATAAGGGGGATTACCAACAGACCCCTGGCAGTCTTCAAGCTGGCACTGGACAAGCACCTAAAGTCAGTTCCTGATCAGCCGGGCTGTGGCTCGTACTTTGGTTTGCGTGCAGCCAGCAGCAACAGTCTGGTTGATCAGGCTCTGATCCACCAGGAGGCCTGGTCACAGACCGGGCCGCGGGGGCGTTGACCCCCGGAACTCTCTCCAGGTAAACTCCAGGTAATAAAAGAGAGAAGCTTACGACGACGTTTCGGTCCGACTTGGACCATTGACAAAGTCACACTAACCAGAGGTGGAGCAGGACGGCTATATATAGGCAGGAAGAGGTGGTGGTAGTAGTAGTAGTACAATAATTGTATATAATACCGACAAGATGAAATTAAGACACGTGCACAACACCCGGGCATCCCCATCGTAGATGTTTCGCCATCCAGCCACTGGATGGCGAAACGTCCACAACAAAGACAACTAGACGCCGCACATGTGTCTTAATTTCATCAGTAGTTGTAGTAGTAGTAGAAGAAGAAGAGGTAGTGGTAGTGGTAGAAGTGGGAAATAAGGATGATGAGCCAGTCAACTACAAAGGAAGGGGAGCACTGCAAGAGAGCTAGGTGCCCACAGAGGTAGAGCAAGTGCACAGAGGTGCGTGAAAAGGGGAAGTGGTGAAATAAATGAAGAAGGAACAGAAACACGAGACAGGAGAGACAAAGACAACCCAGAGGAGAAAAGGAAAGAGGAAAGGGGAAGAGGAAGAAGAAAAAGAAGAAAAAAATGAGGATTCAGGTTAAGTCACGGGTGTTCTGAAGTTTGGAGCATTTTACAATGTAGTGGGAGAGGAAGGCATCTACAGAGACGAAGCCAGGGCTAAGGTTCATACAAGGAAAGTTGTGTATTAGAAAGGATTCAACTAGACGGCGACTGTTCGAGTTGGAAGTAGGGAAGACAGTTTTAGCAGAAGACCAGTCGATAGGATGGCTATGATCTCTGACGTGACAGAAAAGAGCATTGTTAGTGTCGGCAAGCCTAACTATTTTTGTGCTCCCTAAGTCTGTCAGAAAGAGATCGACCAGTTTCTCTGAAGTATTGAAGAGGTCAGGAGGAGCAAGAAATAGAGTAGACACCAGGAACATCTGTAGAGGGAGGAGAGGTATGAACGAGATTAGTGCGAAGAGTGTTAGTCTGGCGGAAGGTAAGTTTGATGTCTAAGGGATGGAGAGAATTGTTGAGATTAGAAAGACCGGAAATGTAGGGAAGGCAGAGGATAGAAGAGTTCCCATGAGTAGAGAGTTTGGGAGAGAAGAAATTGAGTTTAGCATGTGAGAGGGCAGAGTCTATGAAATGGGAAGGGTAGCCAAGACGGGAGAACGAATTATGAAGAGTGAAAATTTCTGCTGGAAGGAACTGAGGATCACAGATGCGGAGGGCACGGAGAAAGAGGGAGATAAGAACACTTTTCTTGACAGGGGAAGCATGATAGGAAAAGTAGTGAATGTACTTGCCACTGTGCATAGGTTTACGGTAAACGGAAAAGGAAAAACCTGTATCTGAGCGGTGGGTATTGTGCCTTTTTGTTATTTATTATTATTATATTTGTTATTTCCTTGCTATTCCCCTAAACTTTATCATTCTATATTTTAACACCTGTATGATCTATACGTTTAGCATTTTTAGTATTTTAAACCAAAAATTCTGTTTTATTGAAGATTAGTGTGGCTATCAATACTATTTTTTTTTTTTGTCATGTGTGATTTTTAAATTTTTAAGTTCCTAATGGTAAATTATATAGTAGTTAACACAGGAGTCATCTTAGTCACTAAAAGTCATGGATATAGCTCACATTCCACAAAGATGGTGGCAAAGCAAACCTGAAAAACTATTGACTAGTATACCTGGAGTGTGTTTTGGGGGTCAACATCCCCATGGGGTCTATTATTAAACCCCCTTATGTATGCTGGGAGGCCCCTGATACTTATTGTGTTCTCTTAATGAAATTGTGGCATCCCTGCTTTTCATTGGGGGGATGTTGCATCTCCTGCCGAGTCTTTTGCTTTCATAGGGAGTGATTTTCGTGTGCATATTTCGTACTAATCCTTCAAGGATTTTCCAAGTGTATATTCTTGTGTATCTGTCACCTGTGTTCCTGGGAATACATGTCAGGGAACTCCAACCATTCCCAGTAATTTAGGTGTTTTTTTGTACTTGTGTGCCATGAAGGTTCTCTGTATATTCTCCAGGTCAGCAATTTTACCTGCTTTGAAAGGAGCTGTTAGTGTACAGTAATATTCCAGCCTAGAGAGAGAAAAAGCGATTTGAAGAGAATCGTCAGGGACTTGGCATCCCTAGTTTTGAAGGTTCTCATTATCCATCCTATCATTTTCCTAACAGATGTGGTAGATAATATTGTTGTGATCTTTGAAAGTGAGATCCTCCCAGGTTCTTCACATTAGTTTTTCACATGGACATCCTGCATTATTTAAATACTGTACCCAAGAAAGCATTTTGAGAAGCAAGATTGTTAAATGCATGGAATCACAATACTTGTAAAATTCAAGGTAATATTGGTTTAATGCAGGTTGCTTCTGCCTCACAACTTGGTTGCACTGGAAGAAAAATCTGCACCATGTGCAGTAATAGTCTGATATTTTATGAAAGCATGTCTGAGGAGCCTGAGCTTGCTACCATCTGCAGCTCATAAGACTGCCATCATCACGAGCCCTTTTAGGGCGGGGCAGATGGCAGACCAGAGGCCTAGCTTCTCCCTACGAGCCCCGTGAGGGCGGGGACTGTGGCTAGGCCTGGGGACAGTTGGTCCCAAAGATGAGGGGGTACTTGTACCTCCTCCCATGGGAGACTTAAGTCTCTAGACACTCCCCAGATAGGGAGCCAAGGCCGGGTCACCACTACTTGGAAAAGACCCGGGCTGGGAGAGTACCGGCGAATAAAAAAAAAAAAAAAAAGTCTGAGGAGGTAGGCATTGCACCTCTCTCTAAATGGACTTAACCTGGACATTTGCTGTTTTTACAACATTATTCATTATAGATTCAGACATGCATGGCTCAAAGGATATTCCAGGATATTTTACTGAAGTTCATGTTCAGGTGGGTTTTTACTGCACGGTACATTATTTTTCTTTTGAGCACTGTAGTATATATGGTTTCTGTTTTTCCTATGTTCAGGACAGTTTATCTATTAACCATTTACTGCAAGACTTTATGGTTCAACTATTCTCTAACCAGTAGGTATTTCTTCAGTTATATTCTGTGGGTATTTACCTGAGAGAACTTTCATCTGCACACAACAGAAGTTAACACCTAGTACTATGTGCATGTTGACATAGCACAAGAGGGAAAGATTTGTCTTAAGTGAAACTCCACATGCCCATCTATGAACCCTACAGGTTTAGTGCCCCCTTCCCCATGGACATAATAAATCACAATTAACATTGAACCCAGGTGCTTTCACAGTTTTTTATTTATTTATTTATTTATTTATTTATTTATTATAAATTTGTGCACACATACAGAGGTACAAAAAAATACAGATAAGAGCAGTATGCCAAAGCCACTTATACTATGCATAGCATTACGGGCTGGCTTAAAATTAACTTAAGATTAATTAAGCAATGATGAAGTCAGTGATAAAACATTAATGTAAACAGATTACTATAAAGCACAAGTGAGTATTACAAAGACAGGTCATATGAAGGATTCTGTTAGGTAGTGTATTTAAAAAATAATAAAGTTAGATTGGTTTTAGGTTTAACATTTATGTGATATAATTGTGGAAACATTTAAGATATACAATTTATAAGGTTCAGTTATTCAGTATTATTTGGTTTTGGGTGAGTAAGTGATCTTTGAGTAGAGACTTGAATTTATAAACAGGAAGTGTTTCTTTTATATTTACAGGTAATGAATTCCAGATTTTAGGGCCTTTTATGTGCATTGAGTTTTTGCATAGTGTGAGATGAACACGAGGAACTCAAAGAGTGATCTGGGGCCTTGTGTTATGGTCATGTGTTCTGTTGAGGTTGGCAAGGAGATGTTTGAGGGGAGGGTTAATATCAGAGTTAATGTTCTATGTATGTAATAGGTGCAGTATAAGTATGGATGTTTTGTATGGTGAGTAGGTTTAGTGTATTGAATATTGGTGGAGTGTGCTGCCTGTAGTGAGAATTTGTTATCATTCTAACTGCAGCCTTTTGTTGGGTAATTAGTGGTCTGAGATGGTTAACTGTTGTTGAGCCCCATGCACAAATTCCATAGGTGAGATAGGGGTAAATAAGAGAGTGATATAGGGCCAGGAGGGCTGACTGTGGAACATAGTACCGTATCTTCGATAGTATACCTACAGTCTTTGGAAATTTTCTTAGAAATTTGTTGTATATGTGTATGAAATTTTGAGTCTATTATCAAGGTGGATTCCTAAGAATTTTCCCTCTGTTAGCTTTGTGATAGGTGATCCGTTTATCATTATGTTAAGAGGGACATCTGTAGCTCTGTTACCAAACTGAATGAAGTAGGTTTTGTCAATGTTTTAGTGTAAGTTTTGTTAGTCCCTCATCCAGGTAGATATTTTCTGTAATTCGGTATTTACAGTATTGGCTAGTGTGACTGGGCTCGGGTGAGAGAAGACGTATGTAGTGTCATCTGCAAATAGTGTGGGTTTGAGTAATTGCGAAGCATTTGGAAGGTCATTTATGTATAGGAGAAAGAGAAGAGGGCCAAGGACACTTCCCTGTGGGACACCAACTGTAATTGGTTGCGCAGAAGAGTTTGCCCCATTTGCGTACACATATTGGCTTCTGTTGCTGAGGTATGACTTGAGGTAATTGAGGGAGTGCCCTCTTATACCATAGTGTGACAATTTTACGTGGAGCAAGTCATGGTCAACTGTATCAAAAGCTTTACGTAAGTCAATGAAGATCCCCAGTGGGACTTCTTTTTTCTCTATTGCAGTGTATATTGTTCTAGCATGTGTATAATAGCATCATTAGTATTTTTATTAGGCCTGAATCCAAATTGGCAGGGTTGAGTATGTTCTGGGAGATAAGGTAGGAGTAGATTCGTTTATGAATTAGTTTTTCAAAGATTTTTGAGAGAGGGTGTAAGTTGGATATTGGCCTATAGTGTTATTCAACTCTGTTTGGTCTCCTCCTTTGTGGATCGGGGTGACCCTTGCTATTTTGAGTACTGTAGGGAAGGTGGAGGATTCAATGGATTTGTTAAAGAGTGTTGCAATGATTGGAGATAGCACTTGTGACACTTTTTTATATATAAAGGGTGGTAAAGGTACTTAAATCTCCTGCCTTTTTTTTAGTGCATTGATAATAAGGGGGACTTCGTATGGGTTAGTCGGAGCTAGGAACTGGTGTGTTCGGGTAGTTGCCGGTGAGGTAGTTATTTGGTGGGGTATCTGACTTGGGATTTTATGGGCAAGGTTTTTTTCCTATAGTGGAGAAGAAATCATTGAGTCTGTTTGCTGTTTCTGTTGGTGGAGTTGGGGTTCATCTGATTTTGCTAAATTTTATTTCGCTATTTCGTGATATCTTTTTTGTTCCCAGAATTTCAGATAGTGTTTTCCAGGTCTTTTTTATATCACCTCGTAAGTTGGATAATCTGTTCTCATAATACAATTTTTTTGCCCTTCTTATCAGGCTGGTTAGGATTGACGAGTAACGTTTTGTTTGGTCTCTGGTTATGTGACCCATTCTGTACTGTTTTTCATATTGGTGTTTTGTATTTATGGATTTGAGAATGCTGGGTGTTAGCCAGGGACTGTTCAGTCTCTTTGATAGAATGCTTTGAAAGCTAAGCATACAGTATACCATTGGTGGCAGAAAACCCATGACCTATTGTGTATGGAGCTTAGTATAAAATGTAGAACCACCTTTTATACAGGTATTGAAGAATGAAATTGGTTATTTGGTTACATAAAGGTCATAACAATTTAAATAAAAGTAACGAGCTTAGGGGTACCTAATTTCATTGCATCTTGCAAGGTCATATAGTAACTTATTTTTCTTGAGACCATTTGCTATTAATTTTTGCTAAGTGCATAAGTTAAAATGAAGAGTAATGAGTATTACTTGGTCTATTACAGCAGCCTTTTTTTTTATTTTATTTATGGTATTACCTTGTTTGACATTCATGTATATAGCTACTGAACATACATTATTTTTTTCCCAATAGAGTCCAGAGGGCGAGCGAAACAGCCTAACACCAAGGTCCCGCTCCCGTTCACGATCAAGATTGGATTCACCAGCCACCTCACCATCTCACCGCCGTGCAACATCACAGTCCCGCTCTCCTCAGCCTCGTAGACGATCCTTTAGCAGGTTATATTCAAATGTGTTTTGGTTAATATATTCACTTCACTATTTTTTTTTTAACCCTTAAACTGTCCAAACGTAGATCTACGTTCACTTGTGTAGTGCTCTGAATATTTTGGGGAATTTTTTTTTTTTGTTTAATATTAAAAGTGCATTTTTCCTGGCATCCCTGAATTTTGTCATACTGTGCACACTGAGTGCACAGACCCATTCTCTCATGTCTAGGCAACTCAGGCCTATCGTGCCAAGGTTGAAAACGTGTAAAATGTAGATCTACATTCGAAGCTCTACGCACGTTGACATAGACAGTTTAAGGGTTACACACCAGTCGCCTCCCACTGAGGCAGGAGGACCCCAAAAAAGAAGAAATGAAAGTTTTTCTTTTTACATTTAGTAATTTATACAGGAGAAGGGGTTACTAGCCCCTTGTTCCTGGCATTTTAGTCAACTCTTACATTGTATATGGCTTGCAGAGGAAGGATTCTTTTCCACTTCATGGAGATTTGCAGAATATATAATGGTGTTATACAGAGCATTTCTTTCTGAAACATTTTTAAAGTGTTTGTATGGCCTTTATAAATCTTTATTTTCAATCTAAGATTATTTTTACTTCTTGAAACTTAACCCTTTCAGGGTCCAAGGCCAAAATCTGAAGTCATGCACCAGTGTCCAAGAATTTTCAAAAAAAAAAATTTGTTATTTTCTCTTATGAAATCGTAGAGAATCTTTTTGTGAAGGTAATAAAACAAAAAGTACGAAATTTGGTGGAAAATTGACGAAATTATGCTCGCGAATTTTGATGTGTCAGCGATATTTACGAGTTGGCGATTTTGCCGACTTTGACTCCCACTTTAGGCCAATTACATTATTCCAATCAACCAAATTCTTAGCTATTTCACTAGTGTTACTTTTATTCTATCGATTGAGCACAAGAAATCGCCAAATCAACTGTTTCAACTACAAAATAAAGTGATCGGAAATTGTTAATTTGGCCAATTTAACACAAAGTTCAAAATATTCCAATTTCAAAATAGGCTCCAGAATAAACAATGTAGGTATTCCTAGAACTAAACTAACATTTCCTCTGTTCATTAGTTACATTTTGAGGCTTTACAAATAAATTCCATTTTGATTTTTTATTCACATAATGAATTTTTATTCACACCAAAAAATAGAAGATTTACTGTTATGCAATACTGTAATAATTGTATAAATATCACCATATTTGTGAATGTATATTAGACCCACCAGCTGACGTGTATTAGATGTGTGAGGTCGTTTGTTTACTCTTGAATATCGGCAAAAATTTAACATTTCCGCTACTTTGAGCTCAGTTTCAAGCCATTTCCAGTGCTAAAACCAATCAAGATCATCTCTATTTCTGTAATATGTCTTCCATTCTATCAAATGAGACCAAGAAATCGCAAATACGACTATAAAAAAACATACGAAAAAACACTGCAAAGTCGCTGTTTTAATCGAAAAATCATGATTTCAGTTTTTTTTTCTCTCATACACAGTGTGCTGCAGGATCTGTTTTATGTGGTATGTGCACACATACCACATAGATGTATTCTCTCATATCTAGGCCCAAATGTACCA